CTCGTATTCAACATAGTATTGGAAGTCCTAGCCACAGTGACCAGACAAAAAGAAGAAATAAAAGAGATCCAAATTGGAAAGGAAAAGAAAAACTCTCATTATTCTCAGATGACATGATATTATATGTAGAAAACCCTAAAGACTCCACCAAAAAACTAGATTTAATCAATGAATTTGGCAATATAGCAGTACACAAAATCAACAACAAAAAAAAAATCAATGGCTTTTTTTATACATCAATAATGACTTCTCAGAAAGAGAAACTTGACAAGCAATCCCATTTACCATTGCAACAACAAAAAAAAATTAAGATACTTAGCAATAAACTTAACTAAGGAGGCAAAGGACCTGTACTCAGAAAACTACAGGACATTGAAAAAAGAGATAGAAGAAGATATAAACACATGGAAGAATATAGCATGTTCATGGATTGGTAGAATCAACATCATTAAAATGTCCATATTACCCAAGGCAATCTGCAGATTCAGTGCAATCCCTATTAAAATACTAAAAGCATATTTCACAAATCTAGAACAAATACTCCAAAAATTTATATGGAACCACAAAAGACCCTGAGTATCTGCAGCAATCTTGAAAAAGAAGAATGAAATTGGAGGAATGACAGTACCAGATTTGAAATTATACTACAATGCCACCATAACCCAAAGAGCCTGGTACTGGCACAAGAACAGACATATAGATCAAAGGAACAGAACAGAGACCCCAGAAATTGACCCAAGCTATTACTGCTCAATTAATATTTGACAAAGGAGACAAGAGCATACAATGGAGTCAAGACAGTCTCTTCAATAGATGGTAGGAAAATTTGACAGATACATGCAAAAAAAAAAAAAATGAAACTAGCCCACTAACTTACACCATACACAAGAATAATCTCAAAATGGACAAATGGACAAATGTAAGTTGTGAAACCATAAAAATGCTATAAGAAAACATAGGCAGCAAAATCTCAGACATCTCTAGTAGCAACATGTTTATAGATACATCTCCTAGGGCAAAGGGAACTAAGGAGAAAATAAACAAATGGGACTACATCAAAATAAAAAGCTTCTGTACAGCAAAAGAAACCATCAACAGAACGAAAAGGGAGCCCACTGTATGGGAGAACATATTTGGCAATGATACATCTGATAAAGGCTTAATATCCAAAATATAGAAGGAACTCATACAACTTAACCAAAGGATGACAAACAATCCAATTAAAAAATGGGCAAAGGACCTAAATAGACACTTCTCCAAAGAGGACATACGGAAGGCCAAGAGACATGAAAAAATGCTCAAAGTCACATCATCAGAGAGATGCAAAGTAAAATGACATTGAGTTATCACCTCACACCTGTCAGAATGGCTACTATCAACAAATGACAAGTACTGGCAAGGATGTGAAGATAAGGAACCCTAGTGCACTGCTGGTTGGAATGTTGATTGGTGCAGCCATCGCTCCGTAGTCTTGATACATGAAAATCCCAGCAGATGGGCTTAGTGTGCGAATGCCAGCTGATGCAGCTCACAGTGTAAGGTCATGCTTCAGGCCACTTCCTATCAATGAAGAGAGGGCCTGGCCGCCAGTGTGTCCATCAGACAGTGCGCTCTACTTCCAGACCGTGTATGACCTGCCGTTCCTGTGTGAGGGGTGAGCCCACCTTCTGTCATTTTTGGTCTCTCTCCCCCTCCCCACATACCGTATTTGCCGGCGTATAAGACGACTGGGCGTATAAGACGACCCCCTAACATTTCCACTCAAAATACAGAGTTTGTTATATACTCGCCGTATAAGACTACCCCCACTTCCGCACACCTTCCACACACCAAATAAAAGGTAAAACAATATCAGATTTGATTTTAA